AAGTGGCTTCTACTCTTCCATACTGCAGCCGACTAAGAAACCTTTTACATAGAATTTAAGCTGTGTGGGGAAACAAAAGTATGGAAACCAAGTCCAAAGAAAGGCTTTCGTCTTGTTTTTTGTTGGTCCGTTTGTTTGTTTAAGCCACACATTGGACACAGCCCCGCACCTGTGTAACTTTCTTCCCAAGGGGACATTTCTTAACTGTGGCCAGTAGATCTCTCCTCCCCTGACTATGACCATAGCAGAAACATCAGGTCCAAAAATCAGCAGCTCCTTGGCTTGTAACACGGAGGCTTGTTATTCTCTTCCTTTCCAAAAAGATTTAAGCATTACCTTCTTGAACAGAGAATACCTTATTTTCAATTCTATGCAGTTTTAGAAAATGAATGATAGAGACTGTTGATTGATTTGCTTTATTGATGTCAGTCATACAGTTACACATTTAAGATCAGTAGAGAAAAGCGCTGATGGTATGTTATTGAGTGTGGCACTATTTGGGGCGATAAAACCAATTGATTTGCTCTGTGATTTACTGTCAACATAATCCTGCCACGCACTCTCCTTGCTTTGCTGACAGCTTGTCCCCGAGAGAGCTCCATGGCGGAAAGGTCATGGGGAAGCCAGAAGGATCAGAAGGATCCTACTACACCAAATGTACTTAGTCCTTACTGTGATTATGGCTTAGTCTACTCAGGCTGCCGTAACAAAATACCAAAAACAGTGGGGGGGGGGGGGGGGTGGGAGGACTTAAACAACAGAAATTTATCTGAAAGTCCCAGATGAAGGTACCAATAGATTTGGTGTCTGCTGAGAGCCTCTTCCTAGTTCACAGATGACCCCTTCTTGCCACACCCTTACAAGATGGAAAAGAGAAACTCTGGGTCACTTCATTTCTTTATAGGGACACTAAACCCAACGTGGGGGTTCCATTCTCATGACCTCATCTAAACCCAATCACTTTTCAAAGGCCCTGCATCCAAACACCATCAGATTGGGGGTTGAGGCTTTTAACATAAGAAATTGGAGGAAGGGGGCCACAAACATTCATTCCAAAGCATTATCCTTTTAAAAAAATCTGAAAGACTCTGGTGTAATGCACTCAGTTCTTCGCTTCTTGAGCCCTAACTGTATATGTAAAATTCTAAATTACTACAAAGCAGACAATGAGTAAGGGCAGTGTTAATGCCAGAAATAAATTCTCTGGCATTTTTTTTCCTGTGTAACAACATGTGAATCACCTGTACAAAGTGTAGTTTGAACATTTAAGTAATAACTCTAAGAATCGAGGGCTTCTAGAACTTTTGCAAGTTTTGTTAAAATATAACCGATGAAAAGAAAACTGTGCACAAAACTGAGGAACGTTAACTCTCGAGCATAAAAGTAAAATTTACTACCAAGAATAAGGGAGGGTTTCACTGAAAACTTCCCCCAAGCCAGATTTTTTTCTAAACCGCAGAGGCCTTTCTCCTTTTTCTTTTGCTTTCCCTTTAGCTACTCTCTGCTTGATTTTTAATCTTCAGCCTGATAAATGAAGATACGTAAATACTGAAATATATGTATATACATAGAAGCGTGTGTATGTCATAATTTGTCAGTAATGCAGATAGTAAATCAAAAATATTCTGCTACCTTTGCTCCTGTTAGTTTCCTGGAAATATTTTGTCTTCTTGACTGTGACCCGTCTTTGGTACAAAGAAATTCTCTGTCCTGACTTGATGACATTTTGCATCTTTATTTTTCTCATATTTCAAGCTCTTAGACAATGTTTGGTAATGTGCCCTCAAGATATAGTCCAAAACAGTTTGCTTAAGGCTTACAAATTCAGTCCTGTGTTCGTAGGACTACATAGCTGGATGATCAGTGGGTTGATTGTATGAAAGATGTAGCCACAACTTGCCCTCTGTCCACGTGCTAGTCTTATAGCAAGTTTAGGATGGATGCATCTTGTGTTCAACTTATAAATGATGTATTTCCACTTTGGTGATAAAATTGCATATCCCATGACTTGTCACAGACCCTCACTCCAGAAGAAGCTTAGCCCTAAAAGTTTGCATGGGCAGAGTGTCCATGACCGAAGTCAGATCCTGATGTCACCATCACCCTAGGGTCCTGTTGGAGTTGATTTTCCAGGCAGCATAATGTCAAGTACATTGGCACACTCTTAGAGAAGACTTCAGGTCTTTTTATAGGTGGTAAAAGTCTATTTTTAATAGACAATTGATAAATCTTTCCCTGTTAACTCAGTAAAAGTTTGAAATAATGTACCCAGATAAAAGCCACACACATTGAGTGGCTTTGAAATAACTCTTTTTCTTTGGTATTGACACACCAGGGTGCCATCAATGTTCCGAAATAGCAGAGAATCCCCTTTGAACTTCATTTCTAGTTGCCACCAAAGATTATCCGTATTCACATCAGTTTTCCTTTTATTTCCTTCAGATTCTCTTTGTAGCCATTAAGAAAGGATTGTAATAAAAGATATTTAAGAGCTACATAGATCACATGTCCGAGCAGAAAAAAATTGTCTACTGATTTAGCCATTTATCCTATTTTATTGTGAAGAAGTTAGGAAAGGAGAACAAGATGAGCCCAGCAAATGATAACACAGCTCCTTTTTGTTCTTAGAGTTTGGCTATCGCATTTTGTAACCAGCGTGCAAATACTACTTCTGGGCACGTCCAGCTGTTACATTAGTTCTTCCTACATGACAGGGAAATGCCATGCCTATTGAGTTTCAAATTTCATAATATGATTGTTCTGAATATTACCAAATCTTTATATGAAGACAGTAGCTTAAAAGTTTGAAGGGGGCACCTGGGTGACTCAGTAGGTTAAGCTTCTGACTCTTGATTTCAGCTCAGGTCATGATCTCATGGTTCATGCGTTTGAACCCTGCATGGGGCTCTGTACTGACGGTGCAGAGTCTGCTTGGGATTCTCTGTCTTCCTCTCTCTCTGCCCCTCTCCTGTTCTCTCTCTCTCTCTCTGTCTCTCTCTCTGTCAAAATAAAGAAATAAACTTCAAAAAAAAGTTTTAAGGAGATGACCAAATAAACCATGAAAAAAAAGCTTATATAAAGTAATTTTCCTTTACCTGTTGCACCAGCAGAGACATTCAGTTCCCCAAACTGGTTTCTCTGGACGAGTCAGTATTACCCCTGCTTCATCATGGAAGTCAGCAAACCTGCAGAATGACTGGTCTCTTTCCCTGGCACTACCTTTCTACCCAGTGTAGCGAGCCCGTCTCAAATAACGAACCAGGAGCAATGTGACAAGGCTGGTTCACTTCCAATGTTGTTACTTTTTGTACTTACAAGAAATGTACTGGTTTCATTAGTAGGCTTGCACAGGCGCAAAGTCATTTCGGAATGGTTTAGAAGTGGCTTTGGTTAAAAGCATAAGCAGATTCCCCCACGTTGAGTGTCCTTGTTACGACGTTGAAATTGAGTGACATTCTCATTGAAGATGACCTTTTGTGGGATGTCCAACGTCCATCCTTGGGATATTCATCTCTGAGCTTTGGCCTTCGCTTAAACTAAGCTGTGGCATAATTGAGAAAAAGAAGACATGAGTTTTTAATTTTTCTCGTAGTAAATAATGCAATTCTTAAAATGATTTGTGACAGTTAAATAACTTTACACTTTCCCTATCAACACTTCCATCTTTATGTTCCAAGGATATGAAGTAAGCTTGTGCTCCAGTAAAATTTTCAGAACTAAGAAACACAGGTTTTGAAATACAGCTATGATTGTGTATTTATACATAGATATATACACACATACATGTACAGATATGGGCCCAAATATGTGCAGGGAAGTTTAGTATATGTCATTTAGACTATATGTTAAGCAGCCATTAATAAACACAAATAAGGAGTAAAATAAATTAGTGTCCCTACCCTGAAATTGTGAAGGATGATTTTGTTTTCCTGGGACTTTTCTCATAGGTAAATACGCGAGTATTTTTTCTAAACATAGAGTTTACTTCATTTCTACCCTCATTGTATTTATTGCCTTTATCTTTCCCAAAAGACAAAGGTTGTTTGTGATCAAAGATCAGAATCACTATTGTAATTTTTCATATTTTTAAAATCCTAAGAGGAACAGAAAACTTGAACTGTGGAAAAAATGAAAGACATGAACACTTTGTTAATGAGTTTTTATTACCATGCGTGTTTCTGTGGCGCATTTTACTTGCTGTAAAGCACAAACCACATACCGCTTTGCATCCTGCTTTGTTCATTTTACGTTTATTATTTGTCCAGACACATTGCTACACGGTCGTCATAACTACCATTTTTAATGGTCTGCTATATCCCCTTGTGCAGTAAGTGGTAGTTTTGAAATTATTTGTTTTAATTTTTAATTACACATTCTCTTATTATTCGCCAGATCCAATTCAAAGCCAGCTGAACGATCAGAATCGCCATAAAATCTAGATTTGCCGTTAGCTAGGTCAATGCATCTGATAAGCGATAGCAATTGTCTCTTTTTGTGATGTCTACAATGCAGTGATGGAATTCAAAGTCCGACAAATACGTATTTTAGGAGTTATATAAGAATTTATCAGCTGGCACTTAGGCATAAGAATTAAAGGCAGTTGAGTGTTGCCATGTACTCTGTTATGCTAGTAGTAGGCTAACTGTAAGACACGCCACCTTGATCGTTGGCTTTCGTCCACTCTATCCACCAAAATTAACTTATTTCCTCTTCCTTTTAACAGCAATGTGCTGGCACCGTTCTTACAGAGCTTATGCGTTCTCCTGCCAATTACATTCACTTACGTACATGCTCTACAGTCTTTCACTTTCCATCCTAAGCTCTTGGTGGACGGGAGTGGCTCTCTCGTTTTTGGCTTACGAAGGCACTACCCTGCGCGCAATCGATGTTCACCAGACGTCGTGTGTGTTTTTGTTTCTGTGCGTCACGTTTACAGGAGGCAAAGTTGGGAAGTGTAACGATGCTAAAAATGTTTACTCTCTTATTTTTTTTTCCACCAGTGGGATGGAGTAGGACCTCTTCCAGACTGTGCAGAACCACCAAAAGGGATCCAGATGCTGTGGCACCCATCAATAGTCAAACCCTACCTCACACTGCTCTCTGAGTGCTCAAACGCAGACACGCTGGAAGGGGCGGCAGGTGCCCTGCAGAACTTGGCTGCAGGGAGCTGGAAGGTATGACTAGTTCATTATCATAAAGAGGAAATCTGGAATTATGAGCACGTCCTTAGAAAGGAATAGAAATCCAGTTGTGAGATATGCAATTCCAATACAGTTTTTGAGGATGTTAGAGAAAGACCAGTTCCATTGAACTGTTGGACATAGAAAGGTATTCCTTTTAAAAATTCTCAAGGGCTCGGGAGTCCTTGAAGATCACTACAAAGTATAGATGAATAGATGTAAGTATGGTCATTGAAAATGCTGTGATATGCTTTCCATTCTATCTGTGTAGCTGAGCTATTTTGTTTTCAGGGGAGATTGTGACATGTGGATGCTTTCCCAAGCTCTGTTGCTTCCTGTTAAGGGAGCTAATACCCAAGCACCTTGTTTCAAAACCCATGCAAACCCCTATAATGTTGTAGTTGGTCCAGTCCCCAAAGGAAAAGAACCTCTTTCATTTTTAACCTATGGGCTTACAGAGTAGAATAGTATTGCTGGGTCTCTTTGGCCAGAAGGGACAATGGGGAAGGAGATTAGGAGATTAGGAGGGCCTTTTTCTCTGAATTCTTGAAAATACACACTGTTCCTGATTGGTTTTCATGGAAAATTTCCACGACCCTCATTTTGGGTAGAAAAGGATTCACCATAGCAAAGAATTCTTGAGTTTAGTCACTAACCATTACATGAGCTAACTTGTCTTATTGCACAGAAGAGTGTAGTCAAATGGGAGAATGAGGGCATATGGGGAAAATATCAAGAGAGGAAGTTTGAACCTCTGCCATCCATTTTTCATTTCATTTAATATAAAAGCCTGGGGCTTGGAAGACACATAAATCACTGTCTCGCATTCACTTTCTTTAAAACGATGTTAATAAGACACAGAGAATTCTCAGAAGCTCAGTATCACAGGCACTGCACATACTGTCCTCAGCATTGTCACACAACTACATCCTCCCTTCTTGCTCTAGCTTCCAATATCTGCCTTCTTGTGTCTTCTCTGTCGTTCTTTGTTTCCACTGCTGCAGCAATGCCTTCTTTCTCAGGTGGGACATCCCAGCCCTTGGGGACAAGCCCTGACAACACTTCCCAGGAGCTGGCTGCTGACATATGGGCAGACCCATCGCTTCTTTTGAGAGTCTTAGGAATGAACATCACTGTCTCTTTCCTCCCCGTCCATAGGTGTCCCCAGTGTTGCTCAGAAAGAATTCAGGTTGGACTAGACTTGAAGTGAAGTTACCTTTTGCTTTCAACCAGAGAAAAGTTTCAAAAGTTGAGTCACGTCAGGAGGAGTCCCAGAGTAGGGCCTTGCATGACTGGGGAAGAGATAATAATGGAAATCACTTCCTTGAATGAACCCTGTGTTCGATCTTATCTCCCTCTAAATTTAAGAGGCTTTGATTCAAGTTACAACTCAAACTTAGTCTCTGCCTTTTCTGAGCTTTGTGACCCTGAGCAAATGATAGTGCCTGACTGCTTGGATGTGTCAGTTTCAGACAGAGAATACTGTGGCTGCTTCAAGTCACAGCTTGCGGATCAATCCTGACACTAGATGCAAAAATGGTGGCAGGATGCCACAGGCCAATGGGCTGTTATTACATGTGGCCAAAAGTTTGGTCAACGCTACTTATCAAAAGCATTTGCCATCCTAATAACTCTAGAAAAATGGCGTAGTCTTCAGGCAGGGCAAGGGACTGCTAAGGAATATTTGTGTGTAGTTATAAATATATAAATATATGGGGGCGCCTGGGTGGCGCGGTCGGTTAAGCGTCCGACTTCAGCCAGGTCACGATCTCGCGGTCCGTGAGTTCGAGCCCCGCGTCAGGCTCTGGGCTGATGGCTCAGAGCCTGGAGCCTGTTTCCGATTCTGTGTCTCCCTCTCTCTCTGCCCCTCCCCCGTTCATGCTCTGTCTCTCTCTATCCCAAAAATAAATAAACGTTGAAAAAAATATATATATATATATAAATATATGTATATTTATTTACTAAGAGTTTTCTTATCAAAATACAAATGCACAAGCATGCATAATAGTCAATCACATTATCTTCATTTACTGTATAATGTATTAACACACCATATTAAATGATAAGGACATATGTGGGAAGGGAAAGTAGACAATCCATAGTGATGATTTAGGGTCATCATTAAGCCAAATACTGGTAAATGGTTATAATTTTTAAAAGATCAAAAATAACTTGTACAAAAACCAAACAGAGAAATCCTTCCTTTTCAAAATAAAAAAAAAAAGATTTTTTCAAGAAAGAGTCTTCGCTGATTAACAGATTGATTAAAGACTCACAATGGGATCAAGTTTCATGCAGACAGTGCTACCATCTGAAACCTAGAGTACTAAGAATGTATTTTTACAGCAACTGTTGAAATTTAGTGGCATTTTTTTAGTGTCCTTAACTTTTTATGACCCAAACAAAAGCAGAAATGTAAAGTGTAAAGCACCAGAATTCTGTATAGAGACAGCTTTTTATAGACCTCATCATGCGAAACAATAACTTCTCTTTATAGGAAGATCACGCACACTCTTTTTCTGTAACAAATTGACTAGCAAACTAGATCTTCATAATGGTCTTAAATACTTTTTAAACTTTAAGAGACTCATTACTTGGTTTATGAGCATCAGAAAAAGAATAATGGTATAATGGCAAAAGCAGAGTGATACATTTTTTTCATAGTCAACATGGACTTTGGTTACTTTTTTTTTTCCACTTACAGCACAATTATTTTGTTTGTCACAGAATATCAAAACAATTGGATATAGTACTTTGGAGATTTCCAAAATGTGAATGAATGCTCTTTCAACTCGCATTTGTGGGTTATTTCCGTTGTAATTGAACTTTATGCAAACCTAGGGTTTGAACTATAGAAATACATTCTGCACTTATTATTAAGTCGGATACTTTAGATATTTTTGTAGAGTCCCCCTAAAATGTGACCATTTTCAAAGAATCTATTATTTATTTTATTTACTTTCTAAAAAAAGATAGAGTAAAGAGATACTTGGATATTAAGCTGTTAATATTTAATGAGGTAACATGATAGCAACATAGATGTAGTGAAGAAAGAAACAGAATCTCTGGCCATGTGGCCAAAATGAATAAAAAATAAGAGAACTGGGAAATTTGAGACTTGTCCCTAGAGTCAGGGGCAACAGCCTTGACAAGGACAGTGAATTAAGTGGAGCTTAGCAGTTGGAGTACCATGTAAAAGTGAACCCAGGCATCAGTGGAATACAGCAAATAAAAGTAGAAACCATGGTTTGACAATTGTCTTATTCTAGTTAATGGTGTGATGTGAAGCATAAAGTTTAAATAAAAAGAAACAAAGTTTTGAAAATGGTGCATGAAGCATGATGCCTAGGAGGTAGGAATTGGGTCAGAATAAACACAGAGGTTATCTGAAGATCCTGCCCAATCAACAGGCTCCTAGAGACAACACATTCAGTTGGACATGATGACCAGCCTGAGGCAGGACAAGGATGGGCCCAACCTAAGGAGGAGGAGATGGAGAAGATCTAGGTCATAACCAAGTCACTGGCCTTAATCACACATGACTTAGTGATTTCTTCCCCACAAGACCCCAGTAGCTAGTCCTGATAGCAAGGACTGCACTTGTCTTGTGAGTGCCATATACATCCAAATCCACTATAGAGTAAACCTGGCTCTTGGGAGTTTGGCATTACTTTCGTCATCATCATTGAACGATCTGATTTCCAAAGCCATGAGTTATAGAAACAGCTACACCTGGGGGGACTTCCAGCCAAGATGCCCAGATGAAGTGACAAGGTCCAGGTTTACCTACCTTTAAGGAAGAATAACAACAACAACAACAAATAATCTAGAGAAATATAACAAACAATGGTTTTTAAGACACCAAGCATTAGTCAGTGAAGGACAGTGATCTAGGAGAGACAGAAAACAAGCAAGGTGAGCCCTCCGATTGCTCCATCACACTGCCTTGAGAGTCTGCAGACCATGGCCCAAGACCTGGGAACTCCAGAGGAGCTCAGCAGACACTGAGCCTAGGAGACGGAGCTGGGAATCTGGGGAGACAGGGCACCTAGTGTTCATAGGACAGAGTTCCAGACAGGAGAAAGCCACACACAGAGGATTCCCCTCAAATATTCAGCAGGGAACCATCAGTGAATGCATGTGAGGTAAATGCCCAAAGCAGAGGAAAGAAGCTCGTGCAATTAGGGAGAATTAAACTCGGCTCACACAGGGATGGGTATAGTGTGCCTAACGAAGAGCCAGACAGGAAAACCTCGTACTTCATGGGCCACTGGGTATGTGCTCAGGAGGGTCTTGTCTCCTGATACTAAGCATATAATTAGCCCTGGACTAAATATGACCTGGTCTCTCCTATAAAATCTTAAAAGTAAGATCCAAAAGTAGCAATAGTTTCCACATTAACTGAATCCTAGAACAATGCTTAAAAATATCTGTAGGAATACAAAAAGCATGCAGCATCCAGCAGATTAAAATGAAGAATGTCTGGCATCTTAGTTGAAAATAAGCTTACAACCAAATAAAGAGGAAAATGTAGTTCATAATAAGGAGAAACATTAATCATTCAAAAGCGACTCAGAACGGACACAGAAGTTAACATTAGCAGACAAGCAGTTGCTATCAACTGTGTTCCCTGTGTTCAAGAAGTTAATTAGAACATGGAAAGTAAGTAAGACTCAAATAAAACCTCTAGAGTTGTAAATACAATGTATGAAATAAAAAACACATGGGATGGGATGGGATAATAGGAAGGTTAGCTATTGCAGAAGAAAAAGATTTACAACCTGAACAGAAACTACCCAAAATGAAACACAAAGAAAAAAAAAACCCATAAATTATCAATGAGCCTCAAGTGGCCTGATACACATGTAATTAGAATCCTCAAAGGTGGGGTGCCTGGGTGACTTAGTTGGTTAAGCATCTGACTCCTGATTTCAGCTCAGGTCATGGTCTCACAGTTTGTGAGATCGAGCCCCTTGTCAGGTCCTGTGATGAGA